AAGAGAGGAGGAGGAGGAGAGAGGAGGAGGAGGAGGGGAGGAGGAGGAGGAGAGGAAACAACTGGCTGAAATCACAGAGTCAATATTAGGACCTAGGTAGACTCTGGGCTTCTAACTCATAACTTAGGGCTTCACTGCACACTGCTGCCTTATGACAAACTAACGAGCCAACAAATGAAAGCCTGCAAAACAAGCAAGCCCGGAGCCGTCCCACGCTGAATGAGGTGCGTGATCGATGACAGGTAAGCAGCGGTGTCACGAGCAGAAACAGGGCCGTCTGGGAGGGGCTACTGACGAAGGGAAAGTTGAATTCAATTGTCCTTTGTCTTTGTAAACTTCCCAATATTTAATTTGGAAATTAAAAAGCAATCCAGTTTAGGGTGCTAATGATGTGTCATAAAATAAGATTACCACATTACTTTATTTTTTTAAAAGTTTCTCAAGGGGCTAGCAAGTGGTGTGGTGGTTAAAGGCGTTGAACTCTCACATGGCCAACCATGGTTTGAAACTTGGTGGCTTGTTTTCTCAGTTTCTCTCTCTCTCTCTCTCTCTCGTGAGCACATGTGCCCTATAGCAAATTTAAAAATAATAATAATGCATAAAATCAAATCATTATTTTTTTTAAAAAGTTCCTCCTCTGCAGTTCAAGTCCTGGACCAGGCTTGCTTTCTCACTTTCCCTTTATCTCTCTCTGTCTCTCTCTAGTCAAATTTAAAAATAAATAATAATAATAGCAAATATTTTTTTAATGTTCCTCAAAAGATATCATTAAGAGGGGAAAAAGTAGGCCCGCAGGTGGTGTGGAAGTTAAGTAGGCTGGGTCCCACGCGACTGGCTTCACAGTCTGAGCTCAGACCCGGCAGCTTGAAAGTCATGCCAAGCCTGTGTGCGTGTGCCCACAATCCCAGGAGGAGAATGGAGGAGAAGGGATTGTGGCATGGCTAACCCTCCTGGGGGGTGAGTTCTCTCTCCAACAAGCACACGTGGTCTGTGGTAGAAAGAAAGAAAGAAAGAAAGAAAGAAAGAAAGAAAGAAAGAAAGAAAGAAAGAAAGAAAGAAAGAAAGAAAGAAAGAAAGAAAGAAAGAAAAAAAGAAGGAAGGAAGGAAAGAAAAGGGAAAGGAAAGGGAAGGGAAAGGGAAGGAAAGGAAGAAAGAAAGAAAGAAAGAGGAGAGAGAGAGACAGGTAAGCTCTGTTTTGTGATTTTTAGTAATATTTGCAATTACACATGACTGACAAAGAACGCATATTTGGAAGAGAAGAAACTTGTAAAAATTGATATGGGCATAAATCTTAAACCTGATTCAAAAATGAGCAACAGACACCAAATGGTAAAAGAATTCAATCTCATTACTAACTGCAGAAATGCATATTTAAATCACAAGAAGTACCGCTGTGCAGCCATAAGAATGTGGAGAAAGAAAACTAAGACTGAAATGGTACCAGGTGTGGCAAGGATGCAGCTCAGCCGGGGCTCCCAGTGCTGGTGGTGGGAGCAGAATTTGGCTCACTGTGTACTGAAGCCCAGCACATACTCGGCTACTTCTGGTTATCCCCGGACATGGATGCATTCAAGTATTTGTATCGATCAACAACTAAATGTACAATAGCTCCAGTAGCCCCAACTTGAAAACAACCTAAATGTTCACCAATAATTAAATGGATAAATTAAGAGTAGCATATATAGGGGCTGGCAGGTGGTGTGGTGGTTAAGAGCACTGGACTCCCACATGGTCGACTGTGGTTCAAGTCCCGGACCTGGTGGCTTGCTTCCTCACTTTCTCTCTCTCTTTCTGTCCCTCTCTGGTCAAATTAAAATAAATAAAGTTAAATAAAAATAATTATTTTTTTAAAAAGTAGCACATATATGTAGTAAAATATGATACAGAAATAAGAACATATAGGGCTAGTCTGTGGCCTGGTGATGAGGGCAGCTGGATCCCACATGGCTGACCATGTGGTTCGAGTCCAAGATCTAGTGGTTTGAGAAGCGTGGTGTGTGTGTGTGTGCATGGGCACCCAAAATCCTGGAAGGAGGGAAAAATCGAGAAGGAATTAAGATGTGACCATGCCCCGTGGAGGGTGCTTTCTTAAGTTCTCTCTCTGTCCCTGTCTCTTTCCAGCAAGTGCATGCCCTATCTGGGAAAATTAAAGAATGTATAAAGTATTGCTATACCAAACAACATGATAAATCTCACAAATGATCATAATAGTGAGTGAGAGGCAGATTTTGTTTTAAGGTTTTTGTTGTAGGGCACATGTGCTCACCAGAGAGAGAGCAAGACAGAGAGACAGTGAGAGGGAAAGTGAGAAATCACTGTCAGGGCAGATGGCCGCACCGCAATCCCTTCTCCTCCATTCTCCTCCTTAGATTTTGGGCACACACATGCACCCAATGTGATTCTCAAACCTCCAGATCCAGGGCTTGAACCATGGTTGTCCATATGGGCATCTAGCACCTTAACCACCACACCACCTGCTGGCCCCACAAGGCAGATTTTAAAAGAGCATATACACTGGGGACAGCATATAAGCGGTCACATCACTGGACTCCCACATGGATGACCACGGTTCAAGTCCAGACCCAGTGACTTGAAACTCACATCAGGTGCATGTACGTACATCCCAAGATCCCAGGAGAAGAATGGAGGCAAAGGGATTGTGGTGTGTCCATCCTCCAGGGCGTGATTTCTCACTTTCCCTCTCATCGTATCTGTTTCTCTCTCCAGAAAGAGCACGTACCCTAAGGCAAAAATCCTCTAAATAAATAAATAAATAGCGTACACTGTATGAGTCAGTGTATATAAAATTCAAAAGCAGACCAAACTAATGTATGGTATTTTTTTAAAGATTTATTTATTTATTCATTCATTCATTTATTTTTTAACTTGACCAGAGAGAGACATAGAGAGAGAGAAAGTAAGAAAGCAACCCACCAGGTCCGGGACTTGAACCCTGTTCAAGTCAGCCATTAGGGAGTGTCCAGCACCTTAGCCACCACGCCACTTGCTAGTCCCCATGATGTATGGTATTTAAAATCAATATGACAGCTGTCCTTGGAAAAGAGATGAGGTAGTAACTGTGAAAAAGGCTTGAAGGGGACTTCAGTGGGGTTGTTAGTGTTCTATTTCCTGAGATGTGTACATTCACTTTGTGAAAAATCATTAAGCCGAACACTTACGATTTGTGTATTTTTCCCTATGGGTGTCATCTTCCAATAAATAAAATGAAGAAAGCATTTATGATAGAAAAAAGTTCTGTAGGATATTTAGGAATTGATGCACCACACATAAGCAAGTGCTCTATGAAGAAGCTTTAAATTTTATGGCAATGGAAAACATATAACCTGAAGAAGTAGAGCTACAGCTCAGGTTTATAAATAGGAAGACTTCATATTGCAAACATGTTCATTCCTTCCAAATTAAACTATAGATGCAACACAATCCCTTTCACAATCCCAGTAAGCTTCTTTATGAACATTAACAAAATGAATCTAAAATTGACATGAACATAAGAAAAATCCAAGTGTAAACCAAGACACTCTTTAAAGAGAAAAAGCTATGGACAGTAGACCTACCAGATATCAAGATTTATTATAAAGCTATAAAAATAAAGACCATGTGGCACTAGCAAAGGGGGATGCAAACCTGCCCTCAGGTAAAGAAGATGCCCCAAACTCATATAATTGTATGCCCAAAAGGCCAAGCCTTATTATACGTTCTCAATAAAAGAACCAACTGGCCTTATCTGTCCAGATTGATTTTTGTTCTGTTTTGTTCCATTGATGTATCTGTTGATTATTATGTGAATGCTACACTGTCTTGAATATATAGCTTTGTAGTTAAGTCTTGAAATCAGGGTTAAGTCCTGAAATTGTGTTCTTTTTCAAAATTGCTTTGGATATTCTAGGTCTTTTACTTTTCCACCAAAATTTTAGAAACAAGTTATCAGTTTCTTTTCTTTTTAAGAAAAAAATTGGTTAGTTTATTATTATCATTATTTGCTACAAGGCACATATACTCACTAGAGAGAGAGAGACAAAGAGAGAAAGCAAAAAAGCAGGCCTCCAGGTTTGGGATTTGAACCACAGTTGACCATGTGGAAGTCTAGTGCCTCAACCACCATGCAAATCCAGTGGGACTATGACCGGAATTATGCCGAATCTTTAGATCAATTGAGAAGGACTGAGGTCTTAATATTGAGTTATACAATCCATGAATTCACCTCCTCGGGTTGTGCACATTGGGACATTTAGAACAAACACATTTAGAGAGAGAGAGAGAGAGAGAGAGAGAGAGAGAGAGAGAATGTACTCTCCATGGGGCACGGTCATGTTGCAATCCCTTTTCCTCCATTTCTCCATCCTATGGAACTTTGGGCAAACACATATTACCTGCCGGAGTTTTTCGAGCCTGGGGACTGGAACTCGAAACATGGTAGGCCATGTGGAATCCAGCTCCCTAGGCACTAGGCTACCAGGTGGCCCTGTTATGTATATTTTTTATTGCAGTAAAATATACAAAATATAAACAAACCATTGCAAACGTTCTAAGTGTGGAGTTCAGCAGCATTAAGTATACGTCCACACTTCAAAGATATGCTTTTAAAAAATATTACATCAAATATTAGATATTATGACTCCTGAGTTTGCAGGTGCGACCTTAAATTTTGCGCCCAAGGCGAACGCTACACCAGCCTCATGCTAGTCCCGTTGCTGCCCCTCCCACGGGATTCTACTGAAGTCGGAGGACTCACTACTACCGATTCTCCCTTTAAAGTAGCAGGAGAAGCGTTTACTGATGCTCGTGGCCATCAGGACACCAAGGATGTCCACCAGCGACGGGAAGACTTGCTCCGCCTGCATCCGCCAGCCCTCTTACGACGGGACACACCTGGCTGGCGCGCCCTCTACCTGCCCAGGGTCACCTGGTGGGCAGCACTCAGCGCCTGGCCCGCCCCACTCGTGTCGCCCGGGCTTCCTGCCGGCCAATGGAGAGGGTGGCCGGTCCGGCCTCGGGCCGCGTCCCGCGGAGCGACCAATGGGAAGGCGGCATGCAAATGAGCAGGTGCGGTGGGGGCTGGCC